GACTCTTACTGGTGTGGCAGAGGGTTTTAAGTTCACAATAGTGGGTGGTCGGTGTTTTGCTAACCCGATTCCTCCAGTTTCTGCCCAGGCTTAGGGAAACTCTTCCAGCTACGGAGCCATATCCATTAAGCTTACACGTTGGTTTTCCACACCTTTATACAAACGGTATTCATCTTGTAAGGCAACCGTCAGAACCTGCAGAGGGGAGCCTTCCCCATTGGTAACCTGGATACTATCTTTGTGAAAGAATATATGGGTTTGGGTTTTGGATAATAAGTTTCTTCCTAACAGTGGTGCAGGACAATTGGGTACAATTAAGAATGAATGGGACACTTGCTTAGTTCCCAGATTCACTTGTTGCTGAGTTGTCCAGTGATACCACTTTGCCCCTGTTGCTCCCTGGACCAGGCTAGTCTTTGAAGAGATCTTTCCCTCCTTCCTATTTAGGACAGAGTACTGAGCTCCTGTATCCACCAGGAACTCTACTGGCTTCCCCTCCACCTTCAGGGTTACCCAAGACTCAGGGAGGGGTTCTGAGTCCCGTCTCCCCTAGTCACTGTCCTCACCTCCACCAAGGTCCTAACAGGAGCAGGCTTCTCGTGTTTTTTGTTCTCTTTCTTTGGGCATTCATTCTTCCAATGTCCAGTCCCCTTGCAAAATGCACATTGGTTCGGAGGCAGGGTTGGATCTCGGCGGGGCCTGTCATGTTGGTCTAGTCTCCTTCCTCTCCGTTTTCCTGAGTTCCGGCAAAGAGAATCTTTGCTAACTCTTTCTGATTTTGTTTATTCTCCTTAGCTTGGAACTCCCTTTCCTCCCTCCATATCCTTTCTTCCCTTTCCTCTGGGGTTTCCCTAGTATTATACACTTTCTCTGCTACTTTCATTAAGTTCTGTAGGGTCTGCTCACCTAATCTATCTATCTTCTGAAGCTTTCTTCTGATATCAGGGGCTGCTTGGTTTACAAAAGATAGGACCACTGCTGCTCTACTCTCATCAGCTAGTGGATCCATGGGAGTATACAGCTTAAACGCATCCATCAATCTTTCTAAATATGCTGCAGGGCTCTCTGTCGGCTCCTGCTTGACTAAGTTTACCTTGGTTAAATTAGTCGGCTTCCTCGCTGCTGCTCGGAGACTGGCTATTAGAATCTGGCGGTACTTTTGGAGCTTCTCCTTCCCCTCTGGTAGTTCAAATTTCCACCCAGGGCGAGATAATGGAAACCCGGCGTCAATTAAATTCTGAAGCGTCGTAGGTTGCCCATTATCCCCCGGAACATTTTTCCTGGTTTCGGTTAAAATCCTTTCCTTCTCCTCTGTGGTGAACAAAACCTGCAATAGCTGCTGATAATCATCCCAAGTGGGGTTATGAGTAACAAATTAATCAGGCTTTGGGGGTTCTCAGAAAAGGGGGTGTTTTGTGCTTTCCAGTTATACAGGTCTGATGTTGAAAACGGCCAGTACTGCCAGGTTCTGCTTCTGTCCTCACGAGGCGGGCTAACCGCCCTGAGAGACAGCGCCTGGACAGTAGATGATGAAGCTTCAGCTTCCTGGAAGCCCCTCTGGCATGGGCGGAGACCGGAGGCTGGGCCCGTAATGACGGGCGGCGCACTTGGAGCATTCGCTCCATTCCCTCCCGACACTTGCGGAACCTGGAGAGGGTGGGGAGGTGGCGGAGG